TACTGAACAGCACCCTACAGGGAATACAACCTACATATTCTATCTTTAAACACGACGATATTACACTCATACTGCCCACTGGCACATAGACGGGCACAATTAATGGTGGTAGTTGCCGGAAACGTGGTTGTCATGGTAACGTCAGTGATGGTCGTTACTTTTCTGAAGGCGAATGTTTCGATGTTGTTTTTATCTGAAAATATATAAAGGACATCACCGAATACAAAACAGAATAAACAAACAGAATGAACGAGTATGGATATTTAGAAGCATCACTCATTTTTTGGAGATGGAGGTATTATTTGGTCTTCAGTAACCCATGCTTGTCGTAAGAGGTGACTAACGAGATCGGGTGGTCATGCTCGCTGACTTGGGTGACACATGTCATCGTATCCCAATTACGTAATTCGATGCTCATGCTGTTGATCACTGGATTGTCTGGTCGACAATTATTCACAGACCGCCGCCATATAGCTGGAATATTGTTGAGTGCGGCGTAAAAATAAACTCACTCACTACTTGGTTACTATTATGTTAGACCGCCTCCGTGGTGTAGTGGTTAGAGCGTCCGCCCGGAGAGCGGAAGGTCGCGGGTTCGATCCCCGAATGCGTCATACCAAAAGACGTTAAAATATGGTACTTGTTGGTCCCTGCCTGGCGCTCGGCATTAATGGGTACAACAAGGACTGGTCGGCTCAGAGTCAGTATAATGTGTGTGAGTGGGGTATTCATGCTTCACTGCGGTGTGGTATCTCAGTGGGCTAGCACTATAAAACCAGCTTCAGTCTGGGCTAGTACAAGCAGCCGCACATACACATACACACGCATGCACGTCGTCATATGAGCGAAATATTCTCAAGCACGACGTTAAACCCAATTTCACCTCACCTCACTATTATGTTATAACGCGTGTATGCTTAAAGGGGATTATACATTACTTTGCTCATCTCCCAAAAGTTTTATGATATTTATCAAGCTAGGAGTTAATGATTGTCATCGTTACGGTTAACTTATATCTCAGTTTCATACAGGACACGAGTTCAGGGAACAAACCTCGACTGCTGTTTTTGAGTAATGACAAAGGTCAACCCTATTTTATAAATACACGTTGTTGGCGATCCATAGCCATATTTTATATTGTATTGTCCAAATAGTAATATAAGTTTTAAAATTTTCATACTAGTTTTAGTTATAATTGTGATATTCTAGTTGTTTTACTGTCCTTCATCGACAGGTTTTTATAATATATTCCATTTCAATGTCAATTATGTTCTCGTCACGATATGGCTGAAATATTGCCGATGTGACGTTAAATATTAACTCACTCACTCATAAATACACAATGCCATTTACAAAGTGGTCAGATGTAACACATTCAATATTTGGGATTACACTTTCTCAGTAAAGTACAGATTCTAGTGCACTTGTTGGGTTGGGTCCCATCCGGGATTCGAATCCACACTCTCAGAGTCAGCCATCTAATCACCAGGGTATCTAACCCACTCAGCCAACGCAGCTTCCACAAAAATGGAAGTCGGACAACTGGTTGTCAGTACTTTGTGTACCCCTCTGACAAGAACACAGCACAGGTCCACAACCGAAAGCTATGAGTGAGTGAGTGAGTTTAGTTTTACGCCGCTTTTAGCAATATTGTAATATACGGGGGATGCAGAATGGGCTTCACACATTGTACCCATGTGGAGAATCGAACCCGGGTCTTTGGCGTGACGAGCGAACGCTTTAACCACTAGGCTACCTCACCGCCCCCGAAAGTTATGAATATGCAATGCCATTTAGAAAGTGGTCAAATGTAACACACATAACCCTGCTTTATCTCGAATTCCGAGCATAGTTCCAGTGTCTGCGAATAATAACTTCCGAGTGAGTGAGTCTGGGGTAACAACAGCTCGGTGATATTTCAGTTATATCTCATCGTGGCATATCAATATGGAGTCATAAACCAACTGAACCTTAGACTTCCGCATGCGATAAACCAATAGGTGAGATCTTTAAACGTGAGATAAACATGATGTAGTATGAACGGAATTAAAACGAACGTATCATGTTTAAATGGGTATTAAAATGTTTATAATTGCGGGATCTACCCACATCTACCAGTGGTTCAGTAAAATAATACCCAACAATAAAAGTGAAAAGAGTTTGATGCAATCATCGGAAGAAATTGTATCTGAACCTACATTTTATCCGGTATGATATACAGCAACCCACACGCACGCACGCATATATAAACTACAGAGGACGCTTAAACACTGCCTGGTCTTATCAGTAGGTGAGGTGAGGTGAAATTGGGTTTTACGTCGTTCTTGAGAATATTTCGCTCATATGACGACGTGCATGCGTGTGTATGTGTATGTGTGGCTGCTTGTACTAGCCCAGACTTAAGGTGATTTTATAGTGCTAGCCCACTGAGATACCACACCGCAGTGAAGCACGAATACCCCACTCAGACACATTATACTGACTCCGAGCCGACCAGTGCTTGTTGTACCCATTAATGCCGAGCACCAGGCAGGGACCAACAAGTACCATATTTTAACGTCTTTTGGTATGACGCGGTCGGGGATCGAACCCGCGACCTTCCGCTCTCCCTTATATAGGTGACATTGCAGACAGGTATTTGTACTTACGATCGGATGAATTAGCCACCACATAGTATCCAGCCTCAAGTATTTTCGGAACCTTGTTTTGCACATGGCCCATGTCTCTTGGAGAGGACGTTGCCACGGCAACAGAAGTAGTTGCTGGCATGGTTAGCGAAATCGTCGGGATCGAGTCTAAAGATGCAGAGATATCTGTCCAATCATCAAAAGATTCGGTTGTTGTTACAGATGTTAAAACACGTCGGGAAATCGGAGTTGATATTGTACCTTGAACTGGGTCGGTTGTAGCCACTGCCAGTGATTCTTGTCCCTGATGAAATAGGCGTATCCAGTGACAGTGATGCCAGTTTTGACGAACTGTCTGAGGAACTAAAAGGTATCAAAACCACGGAAGGGCTTGTGGAATCTGACTTTTTCCTCGCTAAAACTGCTGTAGCGTGGCTTAATGAAGAAAAGCTGGACCTAATACGGATGATATTTGCTGATTGTTCTAAAGTTGCACTAGACACAAGTCGTGAGGAAACAGGACCTGAAGCATCCGACCCAATCACATCTGAAGCAAACGATCCAGTCGTGCGTAAAGTAGATGCTCTCACCGCACTAGAAGCATATGATCCAATTACATGTACATCGGAAACGAGAGCACCAGAGAGAGGCAACTCAAGCATATCAGAAGCTGACAGCGCACTCAAACCCGAAAAGGGCGACTCACTTAAATCCGAAAAAGACAGTCTATAGAAACCGGAAGCTGAGGGCTTAATCGTACGGGAAGCAGACCATTCCATCACATCATAGGTAGACGACTCAGTGATGCCGGAAACAAACGGTTCAGTCAAATCAGAGACAGTTGTCACAATCATATTAGAAGTAGATGAAGTAGAAGTATCCAAAGTAGACGATGTTACAACACTGGGGGCAAATGAAAAAATCGCCCCATCACCAGTTGGCCACAGTGCAACGGGAGCTAACGATCCAATAACGCCACCAGAAGATGGCGTTCCCATACCGTCGTAAGCAGTAGGTCCAATCACAGACGATTCAATCGCATGAGGAGTAGACAACTCATTGAGATTGGAAGCTGATGGTTCCATCACACCAGAAGCAGACAAAACAATGGCAACCGATGCAGTCAGCTCAACCAGACTGAAGGCAGTCGACTCAATCGCACCAGAGGTAAACGACCTAATCACATCAAAATGTGTTGACCAAATCATATCCAAAGAAGACGATCTACTGACACCGGAACCAAACAAACCAACCGCCCGACCAGCTGGCCACATAACAGGGGGAGCTAACGACCCACTGACGCCACCGGAAGAAGGCGATGTTATGGCACCGGAAGCCGACGGTTCAACATTATCGAAAGCAGTCGGCGCAATCACACCAGAGGTAGGCGACCAAATGACACCTGAAGCAGCTGACCTAATTAGACTTGAAGCAGACGGCTCAATCTCATCAAAGGCAGACGACTCAATTGTACCGGAAGCAAACAATCCAGTCAGATCAGAGGCAGATGCAACACTGACATCAGAAATAACTGTTGATGACCAGGTTCTATCCAAAGTGGACGATGTCAAGACACTGGGGCCAAATGAACCAATCGCCCCAGTACCAGCTGGCCAAACAACAACGGGAGCTAACGACCCACTTACATCATCGGAAGCAGACGATGCAATCACACCAGAAGTAGACGACCCGGAAGAAGACAATTCAGTTACATTAGAAGTCGATTGCTTAATCGGACCGGAAGTCGACGACTCATTTACACCAGAAGCACTTGACCTAATCAGACTTGAAACAGACGAATCAATACCACCAAAGGCAGACGACTCAATCATGCCGGAAGTCGACGACCCAGTCAGATCAGAGGCAGATGCCACAATCACATCAGACGTTGATGGCAAGATTCTATCCAAATTGGACGACCTAAAGACAGGAGGAAAAAACGAACCAATTGCCCCAGCAGCAGTAGGTTTAATAACAACGGGAACTGCCGACGATATAACACCACCGGAAGCAGACGATTCAGTGTCACCGGGGGCTGACGGCCCAATTTTCCCGAAAGCAGTCGGCAGAATCATCAAGTTAGCTGACGCAATCGTACCAGACGCAGAGTACCCAATAATACCCGACAGTTCCAGTGACAAGGGTAGAACTGACCCAGATCTCATATCACTAGCCAGTTCAGGTATAGATGATTCCATAAGAGCACTCTTTTGGCTATTTTCGACTGATCCTATAGATGAAATGGCAGACGTAAGACGGTTATTACTACTGATCGCGGTAATTAAGGAAGGTCCAACAAATGCAGTAGATTTGTACTCAAATGTACTCCTGAAGGATAGGTCGATGTTATTTTCTCTAGCGTTAATTGGTGAATGAATCGAACTGGACAGCTGGTGGCTCTCTGTTACAGCCAAGGGGGAAGTCCTGTCCCCCACCGTCCGGCGCACCGAGTGTATCTGGGAGGGGATGGTGCTTGAGATGAGAGCGTCCACTGATGGTAAGGGTTCTGTGCCTGTGTCTTGACCTGTACGTAATGTTGTTGAAGCTGGTGTTGGAACAGTTGTTGCACTGAAACCAACAGAAACTATTTCTAAAGAGGATTCTGTTCCTTGGTCGAGTATCGAAGTCGTCTCTTGTGTTGCTTTTTCGAGTGGGTCTTGTCTGACAGTATTGTTTTGCTGTCGGACAGTAGCTTGCTGAAGATTGCTAGATTGTGCTTCAAAGGTAAAATCACTGACTTGGTCAAAAGTTTGTTCTGAAGTAATATATGTTTCTTGTAGGTTAGAATCCCCGCCTCTACTGGATTGTTTTGTGGTAAAAGTCTGCTCCCGTTTGACAGTTTGTCCTGGGTTAATAACGTGTTCTGGAAAGCTAGAATATACAAGGCTACTAGTTTGTTTTGGGGCAAAAGTCTTTCCCGGTTTGATAGTTTGTCCTGGATTTATACCTTGTCCTAGAAAGCTAGAATCCCCTAGGTTACCGGATTGTTCTCGGGTAAAAGTTTGATCCATTTTAGTGGTTTGTTCCGATTTGATAGATCGCCTTGCAGGGCTGAACTGTCCTGGTATAATGGAGTATTCAGGTTCAACTATCAGGTTGCTAGATTGTCCGTGAGCTTTAATTGGTCCCAGTCTTGATCCAGCGTCCCATTCAACGTTCTGTGTGGCATCCGTTACTACCCTAAAGTCTTCATTGAAAGAAGCGGACGTTTCAACGTTTACCCACGATGGTACCGGTATCCTGTTCAAGTCTTTCTTCACTTCAAACCGGGAGTAGGATATTTCATAGGGCATCTGTGTCCCCGATACTGTTACGGTGCTTTTGGTTTCCTCCGATTCTAAAGATTCTCCGGTTGCCATGACAACAGTTTCGGTGATACTTCCTTGTACACGTAGAGTGCCTTGTCCGACAACAAACAGTGATGACGTATCTGTTGCCGCCCAGGAGAATTCTGTTTCCGTGCTGATGGCGCTATCAGCTGACTCAGAGTTAGCCAAGCCCCCCCGTGGTTTCATATCGGCCATCAGGTGACGACTCTTCAAAGACCCTGTCTGCAGTGTTCTTGCCCTGTTCCTGTTCACAGACCATTTGAAATGTTTTGTTGGGGTCTTGGACTTGCCAGATGTACTGCCCCTTTGATTTACTGACAATGGCATTGTGTCCCTTGGTGGACTTGTGGTTGTCTGCAAACAACAGCTTCTCAACTGGACGACTTCGTTGACCCCCTTGCCACCTCCATTCAGAGCCATTCCTCTCCAGACCAATCCAAATCCTCGTGAAGGCAGGGCCTGGAAGATAATAATGATATATACATAGTCCGGTGACATGATATTTGTACAATACTCTCATTCCAGCTAATCCAAGCCGTGTGAAGCCACAGTCTGGAAGGTGATAACGATACACATGTACGCACAAGCATTTCTGTTCGACCAAGACACACACAACATGGTACCCCTGACTCAAATTTCCTTGGGGGAGAATTAGCTGAGGTTCCATACAACATGGGTCCCAAAACACAAAACACAAACTCCATAGCCATGGGATTCGAACGAGGAACCAATCCGCATTATCTACTACACCACCTATAAGGTAATGAACCTAAACATATGTTACCCTATATAAATCATATATATAGACTCACGAATGATACACCTGTTTGCAACCGCAATTCGTCACTTACCTAGCCTGCTTATAAGTCGATGGTGCTCCTCTTTCGTTTCAGTGAACAAGACGTGGGTTCCACCTTTTTGACACAGCTTCACCGCCTCGTTGTAAGTCCCCCGCCTCCTGGGCCATGCGTAGTAGCATTTGTTGTTCATGGCGACATTCATGATGGTACGTGCTCGATACCGGTTGCATTGTAAAGCTGGAAAAAGGAACTCGGAAGTAGTTGAACTATTAACAACGAAATCTCTGCTTTTGAAATGTCTCATGTGATATCTGGATTATAATGCAAAACCTTCAGACACTTAAAGACCATTCTCTTTTTATCTGATACCTGTTCTTAGAATGTCCTTTCATGAAACCTCCACTTTGTGTTGTACGAAACCCGATATCAAGTATCTCTACCAGTGAAGATCCGTGGGTACAATGTGTGGAGCCCATTTCTGGTGTCCCCCGCCATGATATTGCTGGAATATTGCTAAAAGCTGCGTAAAACTAAAAAGCTCACTCGCTCAGTGAAAATCACAGGGGCGTGTCACGCTTAGAAACAGCGTTAGAAAGACATATAGGTATATAGACCCTACCCTAGTACTATATAAAAGGGCGTGTCACGCTTAGAAACAGCGTTAGAAAGACATATAGGTATATAGACCCTACCCTAGTACTGTACAAAAGGACAGTACTAGGGTAGGGTCCATATACCTATATGTCTTTCTAACGCTGTTTCTAAGCGTGACACGCTCCTGTGGTGAAAATCCGGGTTAGAATGTGGTCTTCAGTAACCCATGCTTGTTGTAAGATGCAACTAAAGGGGTCGGGTGGTCAGGCTCCCTGGCTTGGCTGACACATGTCATCGGTTCCCAATTGTGTAGGTCGGTGCTCAAGATGTCGACCACTCGATTGTCTGGTCCAGACTCTATTATTTACAGAACGCCGAGTCTGGACCAGACAATCCAATGATCAACAGCGTGATCATCGATCTACGGAATACGATGACATGTGTCAACCAAGTCAGCGAACCTGACCACCCAATCCCGTTAGTCGCCTTTTACGACAAGCATTTTTGCGGTGGAAGACCAATTCTAACCCGGATGTTCACGGGTAAATAAGTAGGGAATAAAGACACTTAGCACTGCTTACCTTCACTCGCTAAGTGTAAGGACATCACCAGGAACAGCTCAGCTAGAAACATTGTGTAACAAGCTTGTGTGTGGTCGGGTGATATGTGATACAAACGTATGTTAACGTATACCGGAGGGTATGCACCAGTATTCTGTATACAGTCATATTATGTGTACAATGCAATCAATCAAAACGATACGATGCTTCCAGGAAATAAACTCATGTTCCCTTAATCTGTGTTGTCAATCCTATGTAAACTCATTAATTGCATTTTGGCTTTAGGATATTTACTTAACCTTGCAGAAACCTTGTTTCCAGTGCAGATGAAACTCGTTTTCGTAAATATGAATTAAATAAGAACTATTACTTGAATATCAAGTTGTATATAGTCATCTGACACTTAATGGGACGGTGGAGTAGCCTAGTGGTTAAAGCGTTCGCAGGCGCGTGTTCGATTCCCTTCATGGGTTCAAGTTTTGAAGCCCTTTTCTGGTGTCCCCTGACTTGATATCGTGAAATATTGCTGAAAGCGGCGTAAAACCATATTCACTCACTGTTACTCCGGATCCAAGCACGAGTTTTGGTAGATGCTGACAGATCGATAATGAAAATCCGGGTTTGAACTTTTGATCAGCAGATCCTTGAACTGCCAAGGGAAGCAAATCTGTACAGCTACCAATGGTTAACGACTTAAAGGTTGTCGAATATATCATACAGTATACTTCATATAAGCAGTATCTATTCTTGGTTTGAACCATTAACTGTTGCCAGCAAATATTTCTTCTCACAATCACCCCTTTGATGAGAGCTTTCAAAGCTGGCGGAAGTCATAACTGAACAGTCCTTACATCGAGTCAAGAATATTGATAAATCCACAAGATATAAAGTGAAGATCATCGATAGGCTGTTTCAGTAATCCGGACATATCAATATCAGGTCAAATTTGGCTAAAAACGAATTAACGAGTTTCTGCTGTACATAACTTATAATGGGGACTACGCTTAACGAAGTGCTTGTTACACCAAGACGATCGTCACCTCAACACATGCGATGTAGAGATAAGAGAGCTTCGTTGAATGGATCCCAGGTCGCTTTAGAAATTTGGTGATTGTGTTAGTATTCAACAATTTTCGTGGCAGCGTATTTGTATTACAGCTGTATCTGGGTTGTGAAGCGCAGTAATAAGAAATCAATGAAGAATGACCTTCACGTATAATATACTGGTCCAGACTACACACACACACGCATACGCACTCACGCACACACGCATACGCTGGAATACCAATCCACACAATCCAGTGATCGGTATTGTGGGCTACGGTCAACGACGTATAGGACAACCGAGCTTGACCACCCGACCCATCTGGTCACCATTTACTTAAACCACAGGGGGCCAATCCTAACCGTATTCAGCAAGGCCGTCGTAGACTTGTGCTGAGTTGGAGAAGCCCACGGATATGGTGCACCCAAACCTAGCTTCACAATGTGAGGGAGTTGGGATTACAAAACACGAAGCGAAATAAAACGGACGTAAAATGTTTACCCTTAGTGTGAGTGACGGGACGTTCTTTTGTTTTTAGTTTGTTAGTTGTTAAACGCCACACTCGGGCATTTTCCAGCTATATGACGGCGGTTTGTAAATAATCGAGTCTGGACCAGACATTCCAGTGATTGAAATCATGACTGACTGAGTTTAGTTTTACGCCGCTTTTAGCAATATTCCAGCAATATCACGGCGGGGGACACCAGAAATAGGCTTAACACATTGTGCCCATGTGGGGAATCGAACCCGGGTCTTCGGCGTGACGAGCCAACGATTTATCTATTAGGCTACCCCACCGCCCCTCAAAGAAAGTACCATTATTAGTCTGTACATTGGTCAGTGGATGAGTGACTGAGTATAGTTTTACGCCGCTTTTAGCAATATAGCAGAAATGGGCTTCACACATTATATCCATGTGTGGATTAACATACAAGGGCTTCATAAAATCAACATTTAAGAATATTTCACCTTCGCATAAGTTTTCTGTCTTAGTATAAGCCTAACACATGCAATTAATTCAATAAAGGAGACTGAATGGCGTGTTATTTCGGAGAGCAGGAGGTTGGTAGTTGAGTCCCTGACCTCGACATACTAGTGAGTGAGTGAGGCGTTTTGTTAAAGCCCGCTATAAGACTTATTCCTGTTTTACGACAACGTGTGGTCCTTATATTGAGGAGATCCGGGTGCAGCTCCCTGGCTGTTTTAGAAGTTTCGTTATTACGAAACTATCCGTGTATGCTTTACAATACTACCGTTTTATAACTCTCTATGTCTGTAAACCGTCGATATGTTTGTAAAAAACGTACGTTTATGTCCAGGGTGCCATTATACCACGTGATCTTAGCGCTAAAGTGATCAACTCCCATACCCTAAGCGCTAAGGTCGCTTTGTAGAACGGCACCCAGTCCCTTACTCATTTGTTATTAGAACGTTAGCAGAGTCCCAGCTATACTTAACCCTTTCGCACAATTCCATATGTCAGTAAAACCAAAGCGTATGACACAGACCCACGAGTGTATGACCCCGCGTGTGTCATTATATTGAATTGTTGACGTCATGGTCATAAATATAACCCATTGTGATTCACCACACAGCAAATCACGTTTCTGTACTGTTAAGGTTTATATTGCCCAGAGGTTGACGAGCGTTATGTGTAGCAACGGTCATTTAGCAGGCGCTGTCCTTCATTACCGTATTTCCTCTAAGGCGCTTTAAATAGACTGCCCCGAAATATTCCTTTTCTGTTTAATAAACATGTCTCAGACATGTGTGGAGTCTCTTATAAAGCACCGTGTCTCTAAAAAGCGTACAGTCTCCTACAAGCAAATGTTTATAGTTGTGAATTATTTTGGTTAATTTTAACAGTGTTTCATTTCTTAGAATATCGGTAATCCAGGAAATACTGAGTCAAGACTTTCCCTGATGCTTGTTATTGGGAGGTAAATTCGATACGTTTTAATTAATAATTACTGTATGTAATGTTTTGATGTTACCTTTGTAACATTGCAACCTCACATTTCAACCAGTCACGTGATCTTTCAACAGTGAACGTAGTCCGCCATCTTGAATTCATCCATTATGCAGTCCTTGGCCGTCTCAGAGAGAAGCTTCAAAGTTCACTATTAGATTGAAGATACACGGTCAAGGACGTGTCAGGGCTTCAGACTCCGTTTTGATGGCCGATCCAGGTTGCCCAAGGGTGAACTGTACTTTGACAATGGCTTGTAAAAAGTCGGTTTAAAATTGCTATCGCACGTATTTTTTAATTCGCGGAAAGAACTCCAGTTCAAAGCTTGGAAAAAAAACTGTCAAGGAAGCCGGTAACGAAATACCTTCCGTGTTCCTTCAAGGAAGAATAAACTCTCTTACAAACAGCCGTGGGTGACGACGAGATGCGAGGCAGTGCGGTGTACACGGGGTTTGGCGGTGTCTCTAACAACATGGCCCCAGCAAGGTACTTCGGCGACTGGCAATACAGTAATTTTCGAAATAGGTACATTCTACTACAGTCAGCTACTTTGCGTCCTGAATGGTCGTTGAACTTGGGACCTTTAAATTTTCCAGACAAATCGAAATTATTTGTTGATTTGCGTACGAGCGCTGAAAAGGGTTAAAATAGTTTTACTCCTTGTATCTTTCCTCAGACATTTACTCGCACATACGCTCTCTCTCTCTCTCTCTCTCTCTCTCTCTCTCTCTCTATCTCTCTCTCTCTCTCTCTCTCTCTCTCTCTCTCTCGTGCAAATACCTTTCCAAACGCATTCATACGCACGCACGCACGCACGCACGCACGCACTCACGAATATCGGTAATAAAGTATATATTTTTGTTATTTTTACGCGGACGTTAATACATTACTATTTTATTCAGATCCAACTACTGCAGGCAATCACAGCGAGCCGGAAAAACACAGGTTAATAGCGATCGATGAGTTTCTCGGCATCGATCCCTGTCTGGAAAGCTATAGTACTTATTGATCAATAGCTATCCTGTTTATGCACTGCATAACGCAACCATTGTCACATGCACAGCTGGAAGAAAAGAACGCATGCATGCTTGGGTTGGGGATTTGTCAGTTATTGCCTGCGCATGATATACGAGCTGACT